GATAGATAGATAGATAGATAGATAGATAGATAGATAGATAGATAGATAGATGGATAGATAGATAGATAGATAGATAGATAGATAGATGATAGATAGATAGATGGATAGATAGATAGATAGATGGATAGATAGATAGATATGGCAATCAGTTTGTGAACTCATACAACTTGCAAATTTTCCTGGATGCACATTTCCCTGATATAAAAACATTGAATAAAATCCCTGAAATTGGGTGAGAATGATTGTCAAAATAACATATGCAGCTTGCACTTTACACAAGGATACTGCACTTCACAAATAGTAAAATACTTACGTATTACTACTAGAAATATAACGTAGTTGATGATTTACAATTTCAAAACATGTTTCATCTGTTTACACCAGATGTGAATAGTTCTGGATGAATAAATAATTCTTGTTGTGGTACTCCAAGCTCTTTCAGTAGCAGTACTTGAAACTGTGGCTGTATTTAATCAGAAACAATTCATTCAAAACTGTCTTTCAGTCTTTGTTTGTATGTTCAAATATCTAAAGTCACACACAAGTTGTGTAGAATAATGACTGTATGGGTGTAGGGACAGCTGTGAATGTGCTTGACTGTGGAGGTNTTCAAAACTGTCTTTCAATCTTTGTTTGTATGTTCAAATATCTAAAGTCACACACAAGTTGTGTAGAATAATGACTGTATGGGTGTAGGGACAGCTGTGAATGCTCTTGACTGTGGAGGTGTATAAGTGGTCTGGACAATCTTTTTAGTATGTAAAGACACTACATTATCCTAGCCAGACAGTATTGTGTGACGTCAATGCATGGAATGGTGGTATCCAAGTCCTTTCAGTAGCAGTACTTGAAATACTGAAAGTATTTAATCCATAACAATACATACACAACTGGTTTTCAGAGCTTTCTTTGTATGTTCAAATTCGTAAAGCCAGACATAGGGTGTGTAGGGCGTTTACTGAACAGGCATAGACACAAGTGTGAATAGTCTTGACTGTGGAAATGTAAATAATGTGGGGTTCCTTTTAGTATGTAAAGACATCACATTAATTAGCCGAGACAAACAGTATTGTGTGACGTCAATGGATGGATTGGTGGTATTTCAAGCCCTTTCAGTAGCAGTACTTGAAACTGTGACTGTATTTAATCCATACAGTACATACACAACTGGTTTTCTGTGCAAATAATTCACACTGTCTGTAGTATAGATAACTGAGTTATGTGCTTGTTAATATTTACAGGGGAAAGATTCAGGAGCCTTTCTTACCAGAGTGGGAGTATCAACAATTCGGCAACTGGTTCCTGAAACCTGTGCAGCAATCTACCAGGTGTTAAAGGAGACATACTTGAAGGTGTGTGTGATATGAGGTTTATAGTGCTGTCTGTTAAAGTTATCAGGGGTCTGACATATGAAACTAGCCATCATGGGTTTTACATTGTATTTTCCTGTTTTTCAGTGCCCAGACACAATTGAAGAGTGGCAGCAAGTAGTCGATGGATTCCAGGCTCAGTGGAACTTCCCAAACTGCCTAGGTGCTCTGGATGGGAACACATCAACATTCGCCCCCCCACCAGGAACTGGATCAACATTCTACAACTACAAACATACATTTTCCATAGTCCTAATGGCACTGGTTGACAGCAATTACAAGTTCCTTTATGTAGATGTTGGTTGCAATGGGCGGATTTCTGATGGCGGAGTGTTTGGTGGATGCTCACTGCAGGATGCTCTGGAGAAGAGAACATCCAACATCCCTGCCCCTGCATCACTTCCTGCTTCTGACCAGCTGGCTCCTTATTGCATTGTGGCAGATGAGGCATTTCCCTTGAAGGAGTACCTCATGATAAATTTGCAGTAATCCATATGACACAATGATACATAAAGAGAGACAGAGACAGAGAGAGATGCAGGACAGACAGTCATGATAATAGCTACAATTACATTAATTTAAGTAATAATATTATAGTAATAATAACAGTAATTGTGGTACAATATGTTGTAGTATATATTGATAAATGATAGTATATGTATGCAGCGCCCCTTCACTGGACATTTTCAAAGCCACCCTCAAAACTCATCTGTTCACCATGGCTTTTTAATCTGATTAACCCTCTTATGCCCAGTGTACCATCACACAGTTTCTCTGCTTTCTTCTGTTGTCTGTTATAGTTAACATTATAGTATGTCAACATTCAAATGATGTTCATGGTCAGAGAGGGAAAATACAATTTAAGAGGGAATCATAATTGTAAACATCCTACCATCCATTCGACTCTGAAAAGTATGTGCATCTCTGTCTGTGGTGTAAAACTGGAATAAACTAGATGAGGACACAAAAATGTGCATTAACTTAAAACAATTTAAACACATCCACAAATAATCACTCTTGGTCAGCCTTAAAGAACTGGACTGCTAATTTTCTACTTTATACTTTTTGAGAAAGGATTTTATTTAGCCTTGTATGTTTATAAGCAGGGCTCTATTTCATATTAAAGACTAAATGTTAAATGCTTGTGCTTGTGTGAGACAAATAAAAATCAAATCAAGTTTTGTTGCTTTTCTGTTCTGCTTGTTTTGTTCTGTTCTGTTGGTGTTATTGTTTCCTTACTATGTATTGTAAAGTGACCGTGGGTTTTTTGAAAAGTGCTATAGAAACTAAAGTTATTATTATTATTATAAAGGAATATATGTAAGCTTCTATGTAATTATTTAAGAGTAACAGAAACAACAGAGAGAATTTAGTCCTCTTATTGTTTCCTGCCAATCTGCTGTTCCTGCTCCAGTCCGCTAGGTGGCGGTAATGCGCCCGAAAGCTGGTTTGCTAACCGCCATTAAAATTCAAACAAACAAGAAGAAGAGGTTAAATTTCCTGCAACAAGGCGTACCGTCAGTGTGAGCGACAACAGAGCTGCAGTCGAGACGTGTGTGTGTGTGTGTTTCTCTCTACACAAACATTCAGCTGAATCCAGCAGGTTTCCATCAACAACTGGTGAGTTCACTGACCTACAGAAACAACAGGAAACTGAAGATTCCGTCATAAGGTCAGTTAAAACCAGGAAATGTAACGTTAACAGCTGAAGCAGTCGTGCTAAAAGTGGTGTAGCTCAGCTTCAATTCACTTTGGGTCCAACACGGTTTAGTAAGTTATTTTATGTGTCCTGTGAAACCAAAAGATTTTACAGCTGATGCGACACCGTGTAAACACAATGCAGAGGCTGTGTGAGGCAGTGATGGTGATAAATGTGAATTAAATATATGTCTTTATATAAAACCACTGATAAGAATGTAGCAGAAAGCCTTTATAGGGCTCCAAAGAGCATGTGACTGCGCAATGCATTTTCGCGGTCATTGTTTTGTTTCCGTTGGTAAGAGAGAGAAATGAAGCGATAAGCGAGAGAGAACACAAGAAAAAGATGGAGCGGGCTAATGACAAGTGTGTCGGACGGTACCGAGACGAGCTGGACCCTGTTCCAAAGGCTCCGTACCTGGAATAAATAAAGACAGTAGGTGGAGTGGATCCTCACAAGCACCGACAGTGGACTCAGAATTTAAACCTGCCGCATTTGTCTGAAGCGGAGCTAATGTTAGTCCTCCATCTTGTCAACAGAATAAGCTAACGTTACTATCCACCTTATTTTCAAACACGGAAGTAAATAGTGATCAACTTCCGTTTTTTTGTGCGTGACTTCCGGTCAGCCGCTTTCCCTCATGCTTTCCCTTACCGGAGCTAACGGTGCAAGCTAATTTTTTTTTCAATTTTCAGTTGTTTATGTTAGTCAATCAGTTAGTTAGTTAGTCTGTGTATTTTGTATAATGTTAGATAACTGTGCCCACGTTTCCGTTATAACGGAAATTTATTCCCTATAAACGTGAATAAATCGCACGTCAATCATAAACTATGAACCAAAAAAGCACAGTCTATCCCGAGTGAGACAAACTGCTTGATCCCCGTCTCCAGTGTACCAGCAGAGAACCTGCAGAACCGAATCAGTGAAAAAACACACCGGGCTACACAGCCTCTCTACCTGAGCAGCTGAAGCAGTTTTGTGTTGCTATGTGTGGTATTTACTCAGTTTTGGGAAATCACGATGTCTAGAAAGCATCAGTGGCTGCAGCTGACAGGGACAGCTAACGTTAACACTAGCAGCAAAGCTAACATCAGGATCGTCATCCGTTAAAAGCCTCCCGTTGTCGGATACGACATGAAACTACTCCAGTTAGCTCAATCATGTTGTAACTAAGACATCCGCTGGAAAAAATATTTTTTTCACGGGCCACTTTGTGAGTTTAGTGAGTTATTACAGACACGGCTAACGGCTAACAGCTAACGGTTAGCCCAGCTAATCTACGATAACCATGTTATTAATTACACACAGAGAAAATACTAATGTTTGTTCAGTCATTGTGTTTATAGACTTTAAAAACATCAGATTAGTCTAAACGGTGATATAGTGACATGAAAAATGTGATATATAGCTAAACTCAGCAAGGTAAACAACATACCGGCGACGAATTTAGGAATGCCAAGTCTCAGGTCAGTCAGACTTTGGGTGGGTGCAGGACCTCCGAATTTCCCACCTGTGTCATTTCAGAGGTGTGTAAACTTTACAGGCTGTGACGTCACTTCGCTCGGATCAACTCGCCATTCCGCCTCTGTGTGTATAAACGCTCACAGCTTGCCGGCAAATCGGCCCAACATTGGCGGGAAATCTGGCAGTGTAAAAGGGGACTGAGGTCAAGCCAGCCCTCACGTTGTTTTGTGGTGCGCGTCAGTCTGAAGTGGAACGGTTGAGTAATAACGGGTAGTATTAATGTACAAGGAGTACAGTAAAATATGACAGTTCAGAGGGGTTTTATTCTGAAATGCTCCATCAGATTGACCTGATATTTTCTGGGTGACACTGTGAGGTCGAGTACTGTCAGTCTGAAGTGGAACAGTTGAGAAATAACAGCTAGATTTTGTAAAAATGCTATTCTTAATGTACAAGGAATAAAGTAAAATATGACAGTTCAGAGAGCTTTTATTTTGAAATGCTACATCAGTTTGACGTGATGTTTTCTGGGTGACACCCTGAGGTCGTTTTGGAAGCTTGCTCATACAACAGTTAGTTCCGACCGAGTAATTTGATTGGACGAGAGGCATTCCATGAGTGCTGATATAGAGTATAACATCACTGGGACTACTGGTAACAGTAAAATCACTCCGCTCACAGGTGTTATAAATACAACCGTTAATTAACCAGCTGTCACACTCGCTACATTGACGCAAACTGACACTATAGCGTTACACCAAGAAGATGGATATTTTCCCCAAAATTACATTTGAATTAAATCATGAGTGGTCGTCAGGAGAGGACGAGGAAAAGGAAAGCCAGGACTCTTGTGTGCAGACCTCCAGGTGTGTTTGTGTAACATCAGCTGACCTCGACAAACTGGAGAGGAGCAAAAATGAAGCACACACGGTCAGGAATGATCAATGATCATCTGATAAGGGTTAGGGTTAGTGAGTGGAAGCTGAATCCGGCCGTGCCAACATCCAGGTTTGCCAACGCTTCATCAGCCGAACTGGACGAAGTTACACAGCTGCAGATCAATGTAAATACAAAGTAACTTGTCCCTGGCGTGTGTGCTGCGTCGCCTGGCAACAGACCGGGGGAACTGTTTTTTTTTGTTTTTTTCGGCCGAGCTACATAACATACTTAAATCATTTATTTCTTAGGCACTCGTGCCTACGACTGAATCACAGCCGTGACGATATACAGTACAACATCACTCCCTCTCGTGTGATATTGCTTAATCTTGGTGTCTACTGGGCTAATTTGTTTCAAACAAAAAAATGTTGAAGCCTGAAATCCACTCTGCATTTATGTGCGAAACATTTAGGGGCCTCTTGGTGACTTTTTTTGAGAATTGGTGCATTTTCACACTCCTTACATCTCTAACTCTCCTTGGTCTACAAGGGCGGGCTCAGACTGGAAAATTTATTGTTTTTTATTTTCTTTCATTTGTTAAGCACTAGTTTACTCCCTCAGAAACCCCTGATAAAAGAGAAATACTGTTTTTGGGTGCATTGTTAGCGACATCAACATGTGTATTTTTGGGCGTTTTTAGATGGGATTAAATGGGCTGACTGCCCAGCTGTTTTTTAGTTCTATTTCAGTTGTTGCTATCAAAAGATCCAGACATTATATAGCCATTTGATCTGTTCTGCACTAGTAATAACCCTAAATTAACTAGACTTGCACCAATTACAATTTTTTTTGGGCTGATACAATTTCCGATTTGCAGAGTGTTTGGATGGCCGATTACGATTTTGTTTTTTTGTTTTTTTTTCAAACCACTTTACAGCACACAAGATATTGCAATATTATATTTTTTAAAAATATCTGATGTGAAAAATTCACACAGGTCTTCAGGGCGCGCCCACCAGTAAACGCGCAGACACGTGTATATTCAGCACGCGGACACGCACTGCATCAGTTTCTAGCGGCACAAAAAAAGCAACAAAAATTTTAACCAGGAGTGCCCAAACGTTTGCATGTCACTGTACATTCACAGTCAAACACAGACAGGAGACAGTTAAACAAACAACAAACCAAGCACAGAAGCTAAAATAAATTACTAAAAGAACCCAAATTGTTTGTTCTCAATGTGCAATGTGACTTTTGTGCACAGCTCAAATTATTAGTTATTATGTGCACTGCTGTACATATGCACATGGTATTTCAAACTCTGGAATGTAACAGCTTCTGTGCATTTTTTCCGTCTTTGGTTTGTCTCATTATGTCTCCTTTTAGTTTCTCTTTTAGTGTGTATGTAAATGCTTGCTACTGTTTTAATAAATACATCTACATCAGGCAGGACCTAACTGCACAATGAGCTAGTAAACCAGACACTGAATAAATGCAGATTGTGTTGGCAAATTTTATGGACAACCACAGGTTGTATTATTGTTGCTCATTTTTCTCAGTAAATTTTGCCCTCAGTTGGATGCAACATTACAACAAATTTTCTTGATGACTCTCCTTATAATCAGCTGATCATGGTTCAATATTAATACCATAATAATCACAGTTTTGCTTTTGTCTCTCTCTTGTTGTCCTCAGAGTGTAGACATGGCTGCTGCCAACTGTCTGCTGACAGAAGATCAGTTTCTGTGCTCCATCTGTCTGGATGTGTTCAACAATCCAGTCAGCACACCATGTGGACACAACTTCTGTAAAACCTGCATCACTACACACTGGGATACTAATGTCCCGTGTCAGTGTCCCAACTGTAATAAGGTTTTCTACACCAGACCTGAGCTGTTTGTCAACACCTTCATCTCTGAGATGGCTGCTCAGTTCAGACAGTCAGCTCAACAGAAAGCCAGCAGCAGCAGCTCAGAGCAACAAGTTTCCAAACCAGGAGACGTTCCCTGTGACATTTGTGCTGGAACCAAACTGAAGGCCCTGAAGTCCTGCCTGGTGTGTCTGGTCTCCTACTGTGAGACTCACCTGGAGCCTCATCTGACAATTTCAGGCCTTAAAAGACATCAGCTGATCGACCCTGTGGAGAACCTGGAAGGCAGGATGTGTCTGAAGCACGATAAACTGCTGGAGCTGTTCTGTAAGACCGACCAGACAGGCGTCTGCATGCTCTGCACAGACCACAAGACGCATGATGTTGTTCCCCTGAAAGAAGAATATGAAGGAAAGAAGGCCGAGCTGGGGAAGACAAAGGTTAAAATGCAGCAGATGATCCAGAAGAGACGACTGAAGATTGACGAGATCAAACGCTCTGTGAAGCTCAGTGCAAAAGATGCAGACAGAGAGATAGCAGATGGTGTTCAGGTCTTCACCGCTCTGAAGGAGTCTGTTGAGAGAAGCCAGGCCGAGCTCATGGACACGATCAAAGAGAAGCAGAGAAAGACAGAGAAACAGGCTGAAGGCTTCATCAAAGAGCTGGAACAGGAAATCTCTGAGCTGAAGAAGAGGAGCACTGAGTTGGAGCAGCTCTCACGCTCTGAAGACCACCTCCACCTCCTCCAAAGCTCAGTGTCCCTGAACACTGCTCCACCCACCAAGGACTGGACCAAAGTCAGCATCCTTCCACCTTCACATGTTGGGACTGTGAGGAGAGCTGTGAATGAGCTGGAGGATACGATCAACAAACAGATGCAGACGCTCTTCGCCAGAGTCGAGCTGCAGAGGGTCCAGCAGTATGCAGTGGATGTGACACTCGATCCTGATACAGCACATCCCAAACTCATCCTGTCTGATGATGGGAAACAAGTTAAACGTGGTGATGTAAAGAAGAATCTCCCAAACAATCCCGAGAGATTTGATTATTGTGTTAATGTCTTAGCAAAGCAGGGGTTCTCTTCAGGAAGATTTTATTTTGAGGTTCAGGTTAAAGGGAAGACGAAGTGGACTGTAGGCGTGGTTGGAGAGTCGATCAACAGGAAGGGAAACATCACACCGAGCCTTCAGAACGGTTTCTGGACGGTATCATTGAGGAACAACAATGAGTACTATGCTCTTGCTGATCCTGCAGTTTGTCTCTCTCTGGAGTCTCAACCTGAGACGGTGGGGGTGTTTGTGGATTTTAAGGAGGGCCTGGTCACTTTTTATGATGTTGATGCTCCAGATGTTATCTGCAGCTTTTCTGGCTCCACCTTTTCTGAAAAACTCTACCCATTCTTCAATCCTGGTCCTAATCATGATGGTCAGAACTCTGCCCCACTGATCATCTCTCCTGTTAATTGCTAAGTAGAACATTTGATTTACTACAACAAGAAATTACTTGTTGGGATTGCAATAACTTTTTTCCACCCCTATTGTGTAGATAAAAACAGAATGCAACTATTTGTAAATTTCTTTTGGATTGCCTTTGCTTCAGAAAGACTTGTCTGGATGAAATGTTTTCGTTTTAACCAAAGCCATCATCTTATTCATAAAACTTCAGGTCTATCTGGCTCAAAGCTCTGAAGGCAAACTTCTCCCAGTTGTCATAACAACATCATGTTACGAAAGTATCAAGTTCAGCTCAGTAATAAGGTTCATAGACATGTCATTTGTTTTTTGCTAGTAACACAATATTCGCTTTAATTTAGCATAAATTAGCGGCTAGCGGTGTTTTCTTCGCTCATAACAAAGTGCATGCTACATTATTATTTTTCTTCCTCGCTGGTGGTTTAAGTCGCTGCATCTCCCAACAGCAAAAAAAAAAAAAAGGTTATCCTAAAGTTGACGATCTAGATTGACCGATGGATCGTTACACCCCTAGACTGTCAGAATGAGTGTATATTTGTACAAAAGTTTATCAGTTTGAACGTTAAATATCTTGTCTTTGTTCTGTTTTCATTTGAATGTAAGTCAAAATAGATATGCACATCATTGAATTCTGTTTGTACATTGTACACAGCGTTTTTTGTTTTTCTATTTTCTTGATTATATTTATCTTTGATCAAGAACACCAGTTTGAGAACAATGACTGATGTGACATCATGTTGTCTAATCTGTTTTAATGGGTGTAACAGCTTCAATTAAGGGATTTCAAACACCACATATAATGCTGCAATACATGACAAGTGCAATTAATCAAAGAAGAGTTGCCAAAAAGTTGCTTTGTTTAAAGTCATTCCATGTTCATTTGGCAAATTTTAAACTTTGGTCACTGATGTATAAAAATGTTGGATTTTTGTGCAGTTATTGAGGCAAAATGTCTGAATAAGAAAGTGATTACACTTTTTAAAGAAATAAACACAACATAAAAACTGTGGATCAGTTTCTGTGCTCCATCTGTCTACATGTGTTATTTATTATCTGACCATATTATATATAACAAGTGTTGCATATTGACAAATTACTGAAGATCAGTTTAGGAATGAGATTTTTGGTAGACATGAAATTGGTCTGTGTGAACGTTGTAATGTGCAACAAACAGGCAGAGCATGTTTTTATTTATTGTCCAAAATACCAGCAGGAAAGACAGGTAGTCAAAAGCAGGCTGAAAAAAGAACACATGAACCTGGAAGTTAAGGAAACACTACAGCTGAGTTCAGGGCACGTTGGATACAGGACAGTATTTATAATATGTGGGAAAGACACTCCAGTCCAGTAGGTGGCGGTAATGCACCTGAAAGCTGTTAGTCATTAAACAGCAGCAGCAGAAGAAGACTGAGCAGGAGAAACAACAGTGAAGGAGGAGGTTTGCGGTGTTATAGTTCCTGAAATGAAACTGACAATCTGACCGTCAGCAGAGCTTCAGTTGAGACAAATCTTTCTGCTTGTCTCTGAACAGTGGTGAGTTCACTGACCTGCACAGACAAGATTCATGTGATGCCGACACTGTTCAGGGACCTCAGTCACAGAAATATTTAGATACACAATTTTGAAAATGTTCCGTTTTTCCTCGTCAAAATTTAGCATAACTTTGGAGCGTTATTTGCCCCTAAATCCAACAAGATAACATAACATGGTTAGCCCCAACTGATGCCTTGGGTCATCTAGTTTGATATGATACCAGTGTCTGTACTGTAGCTTTAAAACCGAGCCTGATACAGCAGGTTTCATTCGTTAATATCAGTCTGACTCACCTTAACGTTAACCGCGGTTGTGATTTGGGCCACCTGACCCGAAAACTGTGTGTGTGTGTGTGTGTGTGTGTGTGTGTGTGTGTGTGTGTGTGTGTGTGTGTGTGTGTGTGTGTGTTCCATGTTTTTCTCCTCACTGACTTGGTCAATCCATGTGAAATTTGGCACAGTGGTAGAGGGTCATGGGAGGATGCCAATGAAGCAATATTACATCAATTGGCCAAAGGGGGGCGCTATAGCAACCCATTGAAATGTCAAACTTTGAATGGGCATATCTCATGCCCCGTATGTGGTAGAGACATGAAACTTTGCACAGAGATGCCTCTCCTCATGAGGAACACATTTGCCTCAAGAACCCATAACTTCCGCTTATATAGATTTTCCGCCATTTTGAATTTTTTGAAAAACACTTCAAATGGATCTCTTCCTAGGAAGTTTGAGCGATCTGCATGAAACTGGGTGAACATAATCTAGGGACCAATATCTAAAGTTCCCTCTTGGCAAAAGTTGGAAAACTTACTAAAACTGAGCTTCTATAAGGCAATGAATATTGCGGAGGGCGTGGCTCATCACATAAAGGTGTATAACATCTCAAGGGTTTCACCCATCACCACGCAACTTTGTAGGCATATGACCACACATAATCTGAGGGGACCCCTCCATTATTGACCCCATCAAACAAAATGGGGGCGCTAGAGAGCTCATTTCTTATCTAGGCCTAACCGCCATATGGATTTTTACTAAACTTGGTAGATATGTAGAACAGGACGCCTCAAGGTGACTGGAGAAATTTAACTCTAATTGGCAACTGGGTGGCGCTATAACAACAGAAAAATGCTTCAAAATGGCTAAAATGCGACCGATCGCTGTGGCTCCCCCTGTGGACCAATGTTGGTGTTGTTTTCTAATGTTTGGTATGACTAAGTCATGGTATGGTATGCTGTACATAATCACGGAAACTGTCAGTGTGTCATTCTGTCAGTCAGTCATTCTGTCTGTCCCACGTTTTTCTACTCACTGACGTGGTCAATCTATGTGAAACTGCACATAGGCATTGAGGACTGGCATAGGTAGAAGGTGACACAGCTACCAATGGCTATGGACTAGTCTGCATAAAGAACATGTTCCCTTGCGGCAGTCCTCTGCAAATGAACTGCGGTGAAAGTTGCTATGATCTGTTATTACACAGCTCTATTAAATGCTGTATTCTGATTAGTCAGTCGCGGTATTCAGGGGTCTGATATTACTGTGTAATGACCGTTGCTAGTAGCAACGGTCATTACACAGTTGCTATGTAGCCCAGCTTTGCTAGGGACGCTCCCCTGCAACACTGCAGCTGTCAAACAACTTCCGAGGGAAAAGACAAATAGAAATTGCTGATTTTAACATTTCTTTTAACTTATTTGGAGAGTAGCTACAAGGATTTTGAGGAATGGGATGCCGCTGAAGAAAAAGAAATGGAGAAGGAAAGAACAAAAAAATCAAGCGAAAAATGGCACAAGGAACTGACACCTGAAGAGCTTCAAGTGATAGAGGAGGAGAAAGATGAGATAAACACAAAAAAGACAACAAAATGGACTACTGTACTATACTGTACTGTACTACTACTACTATACTGACGGACTTTCTCTGCCAAAAACAAAAGAACACGGATTTGAATACACACTCGGCAGTCATGCTTAATGACATTTTATGTTAGTTTTATGCCTCGGTTCAGTCCACTAAGCCTGGGTGAGTACAAAACTTTCACCAAAAGTTGTCGAATCCGGTCAGTTTTAATGCACTTCGCGGAGTTTTTACATTATCCCTTACTTATGATCCATGATTACGGAGTCAATAACCAAACAGCTTTAGCTAGCAAGCTAGTGCACCAGCTACTGGAAAAGTTTTCTACTTCCACTTTAAGCAAGCAACTGTGAACACAAGGCTTACGTTGTGTTTACAACAACAACAATCAAAAATATATATTTAGCAGTCTCGGTCCGTGCAACATAAAACAGGGTCTGGTGCTTTCGCCTGCGCACATCTAAAATGCTGACTCTGGAACTCGCGCTTATGCACTTCTAATATTGTGGCTCTCCAGCTCTGCAGGGGGATGTTCCTCCTTTGACCCCTCCTGACTGCAGGCCTGTTCCAGTGTTTGTTGTGCCTCAATTTTGTGTGAAAGGAATTTCAGGCCTTTCCCAAATAAACACTGGTTGAGTCCAGGGATTTAAGCAAATAATAGCAGAGGCTATTAATTGAAGTTTTACAGCACCACCACCAAACTGCACATCAAAGCTCTCACAATAGTCCTGGACCTGTCTGCAGAATGAGCTGTTTTGTAAATCAAATTCTGGTGAAATGCAGGTTGTAGCCACTGATTCATCGACAACCACAGCACATATTTGCGTTTCAGCATTTTCTTAGTTGATTTGGCCCTCAGGTGCGATAAAACAACAACACTGACTCCTTATATTCCTCTAAACAGTGCAGTGTTTCCTACATAAGTAGAATCTGTGTGGTGGTAGCTGAGGCTGGGGGCAAACTTTCCTTTTGTTGTGTGTGTTTCACTTTCACTGTGCCTGGTGTTCTGCTGCACCATCTGTGCCAAGAGTACACTCTGCACCCCGAGAGAGTGATGCAATGAATAACCAAATGGTAGCCTATATATACTACGTCAGTGCTCCTACTGAACGGTCTAGCTCAAAAATCACAAAAAGAAATAAACACAGTTATGTTTTTGTTTCTCTCTGTTGTCCTCAGAATGTAGATATGGCTGCTGCCAGCTGTCTGCTGACTGAAGATCAGTTCCTGTGCTCCATCTGTCTGGATGTGTTCACTGATCCAGTCGCCATACCATGTGGACACAACTTCTGTAAAACCTGCATCACTAAACACTGGGATATTAATGTCCAGTGTCAGTGTCCCAACTGTAAGAAGGTTTTTGCCTCCAGACCTGAGCTGCATGTCAACACTTTCATCTCTGAGATGGCTGCTCAGTTCAGACAGTCAGCTCAACAGAAAGCCAGCAGCAGCAGCAGCAGCTCAGAGCAACAAGTTTCCAAACCAGGAGAAGTTCCCTGTGACGTCTGCACTGGAACCAAACTGAAGGCCCTGAAGTCCTGCCTGGTGTGTCTGGAATCCTACTGTGAGACTCACCTGGAGCCTCATCTGACAAGATCAGGCCTGAAAAGACATCAGCTGATCGACCCTGTGGAGAACCTGGAAGGCAGGATGTGTCTGAAGCACGATAAACTGCTGGAGCTGTTCTGTAAGACCGACCAGATGTGTGTCTGCATGCTCTGCACTGTTTTAGACCACAAGACACATGATGTTGTTCCTCTGAGAGAAGAATATGAAGGAAAGAAGGCCGAGCTGGGGAAGACAGAGACTGAAATTCAGCAGATGATCCAGAAGAGACGACTGAAGATTGAGGAGATCAAACACTCAGTGGAGCTCAGTGAGGAAGATGCAGACAGAGAGATAGCAGATGGTGTTCAGGTCTTCACCGCTCTGAAGGAGTCTGTTGAGAGAAGCCAGGCCGAGCTCATGGACACGATCAAAGAGAAGCAGAGAAAGACAGAGAAACAGGCTGAAGGCTTCATCAAAGAGCTGGAACAGGAAATCTCTGAGCTGAAGAAGAGGAGCACTGAGTTGGAGCAGCTCTCACACTCTGAAGACCACCTCCACCTCCTCCAAAGCTCAGTGTGCCTGAACACTGCTCCACCCACCAAGGACTGGACAGAGGTCAGCGTCCGTCCACCCTCATATGAGGGGACTGTGAGGAGAGCTGTGAGTCAGCTGGAGGAGACGCTCAGTAAACAGATGAAGAAGCTGTTTGAGGTCAAGCTGAAGAGGGTCCAGCAGTCTGCAGTGGATGTGACACTCGATCCTGATACAGCACATCCCAAACTCATCCTGTCTGGTGATGGAAAACAAGTAAAGCTTGGTGATGTGTGGAAGAATGTCCCAGACAATCCAGAGAGATTTGATTTTCATGGTAATGTCTTAGCAAAGCAGAGTTTCTCTTCAGGAAGATTTTATTATGAGGTTCAGGTTAAAGGGAAGACTGAATGGAATTTAGGAGTGGTCAGAGAGTCGATCAACAGGAAGGGAAGAATCCCAGCAAACCCTCAGAATGGTTTCTGGTTATTATCTTTTAGAAATGAAAATGAGTACTATGCCCTTGCTGTCCCTTTTTTCCGTCTCTCTCTGTAGTCTCGGCCTGAGAAGGTGGGGGTGTTTGTGGATTATGAGGAGGGTCTGGTCTCCTTTTATGATGTTGATGCTGCAGCTCTTATCTACTCCTTTACTGGCTGCTCCTTCACTGAGAAACTCTACCCATACTTAAGTCCTTGTACCAACAATGATGGTAAAAACTCTGCCCCTCTGATCATCTCTCCTGTCAGTTACACTAAGTAGAACAGCCACTTAACTTTCTACAAACAGACTGCAAAACACTTAATGAAAGAAAATTGCACATTTACCAGCACTGTGTGCTTTGTATGCTGAGTTTTCTTCAGACCCCAGTAGATGTTTTTTGCCCTTTTTTTGGTGCAACTCAAAACATAATTTCTCTTTAATGCAGTTTGCAGTTGGGACTTTTTGGCCTATGTTCATTTTCTGTTTTGGCGAAATAGTGCTGGTGATTTTTTTTTTTTTTTGTCAGATTCCTAAATTTCTTTTCAAAAATCATACCATACACAATAACAAGATGCCTTGGTGGTTTTTGTGTCATGTGTCCAAACAATGTTAATTGTGCCAGAAAACAATAATTTCCAATTTCAAACAATTAAAAATGTGTTCAAAGCCTTCAAAATCTGAAACTGAGTACGTACTGATGACATTGGTGTAAACATGTTCTACTTTAATCATTTTAATGTTGATATATTTGTATTTGAAAATGTTGGCCCTTCAAAGATGTGTCCAGGGGCTGTACTCACAGACATATTGAGAACACTCTCAGAGAGCTCCTAACTCAAAAAACTTTTAGTAAGGACTCCTAGCTTAGGGGTGATTTAGGAAAGTTCTCAGAGCGACTCTGAGCAAAGAAGGGACAGAACGTTTTATCTGAGTGAGGAGGTGTGGTTGACCCTGTTGCTAGGTGTGATGCATTCTTTTAACAGATGTGATTGGTTGTCACAGACACGCCCTTTTGTGAGCCTACAAGGTGTGGACAACCAGTGGAAATTACTGACTGTGAAAGTGTTGTCACTGTTAGTGTGATCACTCTGCTGATGAAAGGTTGAGACAGACTCAACTCATCACTGCTGCACTTTTTCTTTACAGTTTTCCAATATCTTAGTGTTGTGATCATTTTATGTCTGGCGTTGTTGTGTTGAGTATGAAATGCGTGCATACCCCTAATGAGATTGACCCCTCTTATTATCGCTGCATGATTTAATCTGTAGCATTTCACTGACTCACTGTCATCCATTGTTTGGAGAATATTTCTCTGACCTCTTTGTATTTCCACCATTTTCTCCTCTGATTAAGAAACTCTTGAGCCTCTTAAAAGTCCTCCTCCCTGCTCCTAACAGTTTTTCACCTTAGGAGCTCTTTTATGGTCTAAGATGCTCAGTAAATAACTTCTATCTTTACACAGATTTAGTCTTAACTTTGAGGAGAAATTCTAAGAAAATGTCACAATTCTAAAAAAATCTTAGAATTTTGTCACTCGGAGCAACTCTTGGCACCAGGAAGCTGAATACAGCCTCAGGATTTTTGTCAACTCTGTCAAATTTCTACAAACATCATTTAATCAGATATAAAAAGGGAAAGCAAAATCACAAGGATTCTGAGAAATATTCTCAAAACGCTGCATGACTGAGTAAATGATTAGATGGTGCAGGGATAATATGTGTGGTTGATCTCATTAGGGATATGCACACATTTCCCACCTAATGCTACAATGCCAGAAATAGAGATATTTGAAGAAACTGTAAAAACACAACAGTGCAGCAGTGATGACTTGACATTTAATTTCCACTGGGTGTCCACACCTTGCAGGTGTGTCTGTGACAACCAATCATATCTGTTAAAAGAATGTGTCACACCTAGCAACGGGGTCGACCACACCTCCTCACTAAGGTAAAACTTTCTGTCCCCTCCTTGCTCAGAGTCGCTCTGAGAACTTTCCTGAACATATAGCCTTATATAAATTGTCCTAAACTAGGAGCTCTCTGAGAGTGTTCTCAGAATGTTTGTGAATACGGCCCCTGGTTTCCTGAAAGTTGTGAATGCTGCTCAAGTAGTGATTAGCTTTCTGTTTTTTGATACATTGATTAAATAATATTGCTATCGGGTGTGTCTCAGCCATAACAGGTAAACTCCGTTGTCCATCTAAATCAAAACCAAATAAGAATTATGTTTGAGTATTTTGATCAGCAATAAGAAAACTCTGAGCAACTGTGAAAAATATAATGGCTACTTGCTACAACTCTGACATCCATTGTGCTATTTAAGAAAAATTAAATCACTGGGAGGTTGGCTCATTGCAAGATTTAAAGGCGCCGTATGTAAGAATGTGGCCAAAACGGTTACTGCACTCAAATTCAAAATACTGCTGCGAGTCGTGTCCGCCTGATGGAGCTATCAAGTGCTTTTTCCCCGGTCTCTGCCTCTTACTGGGGGTGGAGTTGCTCGGACCCACATAGCTAAAGAGATGAGCGTTTTTATCATACATGAGTGGCTCTCAGAGGGTACATGCATTTCCTGTTGTATCGGTAAAGGTCAAGATGTATTATAATTGATGTTAGCTGTTGACTAGGGATGGACATATCGGAGGAAATATGCAGGATATTTGATCTAACTATGCTTCATTTTTGCTTCACCTCTGTAACGTTATATAGCTTTATAGCAATATATATGCGAAGACCTAATGAGGACTCAAATTTGGTGTCAAATGTAAAGTTTCGTATTATCGTGCTAATGTTTGCACTGTTACCAAAGCAAACACGCCGGCAGCGGCTGGACAGCGGCATGCTGGAGATTTGTTTGCCCACGGGCGGCTGCCGTGGCAGGGCTGCATCGCCGCATCCTTGACCTTTGGTTTCCGGACTTGCATGAACGGTCCGTTCATGCAAGTCCGGCTTCTCTGCTGCTAATGCTGCTGCCGGGATACAGCGGAGGACGAGCCGGCTGCTAATACTATGTGCCGGGACACTGCTAATGCTGCTTGCCTTGCTGCTAACGTTTATTTTTCAAAAAAATCAGTCGGGTCGATGATCCACCTGCACATGGGCTACAATGTATGATCGAAAATGAGTAACAGTTGAAAGTATTCAAAATGTCCATCCCCGTCTAGCTATGATGCTAGTTAGCCAACTTTGGCTAAAGCGTACCTGTCGAGGAGAAGAGTAGCCACTTCAACATCTGATTTCAAATTCTTCTCTGCTTTCAACCGTCTCCACAGTTCAAAAGCATCTCCTATATAGACCCTTGCTTTGCCTCGAGTTTTGTCTTGGCGTTTTTGGGAATCATAACGAGGTCGTTTGGGTTTAGTTGCACCGTCAGCCATTGTAGCTCAGTCGTAACTGGCAACCCGGATGCTGAGACTCTACTGACTGCGTGACTGGTAGACGGCGGTGGGTGGCGCAACAGGCCAAAACAGAATTTCAAAACATAAACATGATTTGCGGACCGTAAACAATTTTTTAAAATGCGAATTTTCTGGCTGTACTATTGTTGTCGGTGAGATCATTATGTTATATGAACATTATTCCTTAGTCTCTGTGAAATATTAGGATGATTTTACAACTATTTGCTTTAGATTTCTTACATATAGCTCCTTTAATAGTTAGGACTTCGGTCTTTTAAAATGTAGTTTCCCAGCCTAACTGAAACTAAACATCAAAACCTTCCATAAATAATGTTTTGTTCCACTTCTCAGGAGTGAGGAAGTTACAAAACATTCAATAAATGTTGCATTGTTTGCAATTTTGTTTTTGCACAGTCATGTTCAGGCACTGAAATAAACAGTGTTGACTTAATAAACCCATTATCACCATACAGGGACATCATTATTTTCAAAAAAACTTCTGACTGTTCAGAGACTATGCTTTATTATTATATCAGTCAGGCCTGTTAATCCCTAATGGCAAAGAGAAATTAAAAATGCACACTAAAAAAAAAGCTCAGGAGGTCTCTTGGGGTTAAGTTATCATGTTAAGTTATGTTGTGACGTCATATTGAGGCGACTTCTAGGCCTGTTTTTATGGATCGGTACTGCGCGTGCGCAATGAGAGGAGTCCTTGGCTGGTCGGCCTGCTGTAGGTTACAGATCCGGTGAGGGGACACAGACAAAATGCAGAGCTGGACTCAGTTATACCGCTCCTTGGCCACGGTAAGGACGGATATTATTAATCTATTAACGGGCATGTGTTGTCCGGATCCGCCTCTAACTGGTCCCGCCGGCTGTTGGTCCCGGGAATACCGGTGTTTTCAGACCCGCGGCCCGGGCCTGGCTAGCGGGGCAGCTAACAGCCCCGGTCCGGTGTAATAGTAGCACCAGACCCCTCTGGAAAAACATGTAGTTCAGAGTTGTTATGGATATTGGCGATGAAATATGTCGCTAGATATGTAGTTTATACATCGTCTTATTTTATAACCTTCACTTTTTTATTCGGCACAAACAAAATTACAAAAGTGTTAACATTGAAGCAAAATTACGACTTTGTTGTTGAATGTTTCACCAGTGATTTCCAGGAAAACGAGTTATGGAAATACTTAGTGTTCACTATGTCGTTTTCAAATGAAGAAAAAACTAGATAGCTTTATGTGATATATGTACGCTAAGGTTAGAGGTTTGTGCTAATGCTAAACGCAGTATATGTAACTAGTTTATTGACGTTTCTCTTCCTACAAGCTGTGTTAGCATGCTAAGGGAATTAGCAGTGGTTATCTAACTTCAGCATGTGTCAGAGGCTCAGCGGTTTAAGGCTGTGCCCTCTCACAGCGTCACGAACTAAATAACTCATCATTCCCTGTTTATTCATCTAATTGAGAAGTTGAATTAAACATATAAACATGTTTGTTAGCCAGCTTGCTAGCACATTAGCAACCTGCTTAGCTGGAAAGACTGAAGTGTTGCTGGTTCGATACGAGGCACTGATTGATGACACATCAGTGTTCAACATCTCTGCTGCTGAGTGCCTTTGAGCAAAACACTGAACTCCAGACATTCTGTAGTTGCTTTGGCAATCCCGCCAAAGAAATGTTTTCTGTACTTAATGAACTCAAGAAAGCAACGTGAGAATATTTGTTTCATTTATTGTCCTTCAGCCTTTAAATCTGACCAGTGGTGGAAAGTAACCGAATACTGTACTAACAGTTTTGATGTACTTGTAATATAGTTATTTAATGCATATTAGAGGCAAACTTTGCATATTTATTGCAGAATGATATTCCAGATACAGATTGATGATGCATATTAGAGGTGGGCGATATTGCCTTAAAATAAAATAATGATATTACAGGGTATTTTTGCAATAATGATATTCTTGATGATATGACAAATTAGGAAAGAAAACATAGTGTTAATTTAAGAACATAGAAGTACAACACAACAAGTGATAGTTTTACAGTTAACCTTCAAATATTCAGTAAAAACTAAAATGATCTCATTTCTTTAGTTTGTGAACAACAGCAGTAACTCAGAGTGAGATTCAGATTCAATATTAAAAGTTCAACTAAATCAACTCTACCACTAATTACACATTTAAACAGCTCCCAAACACAAATGAACCTAATCATCACGCTGTAACCTGTGACAGGCTGTTATGATACCACAACTATCACACAGTCACATATATGGAGTTTCTTCACGTAGGTTTACATCACCAAAGGTTTATGACAAAATCACATGACGACACCGACTCCCGTGTGCACACGGCGAGAGAGGAGAGGGAGAGACAGTGTTATTGCAGACTTCCAAAATCTGTCCTCACTGTTTTTACACGTGAGCAGCTGAACAAGGAAATTGTAGTGAAAGAAATACACAAAACAGAAAACAAGCAGGCTGTTGTTGAGTCTGAGAGTTCCCCCGGAAAATACTGTAAATGTATACTTGTGGATTGTGGAATTGGATTCCAACAACAAAAATATATTTTTGTTAGAAGTGGAACTGGTTTGATCACTTTGACTTTTCTGCTTTCAGTCTCTGAAATCATTACTCTTAAAATGTTAGAATAGTTAGAGAAAGCCACTGATAGATAAACAATCAGTTATTTAGAAAAGACAAATGGTTGCACTGTATTTGGGGAAATCACATTACTCACATGCTGCATAATTTTGTCCCACCCCTTTTGCTGTAGTGTTTAGTTTTGTATCGTGACCTTGTGTTTGATTGTTTTGTCTGCTTCGTGTTTTTTCTGACTTACTTCTGGTTTGCTTCACAGCGGAGCCACCACCTTCCCTGCAAACTGCACGGCGCCACAGCTGTGTCCGTCAGAACCTACGCTGACAAAGCAGCAAGTAAGATAACCTGTAAATCTTATCTTGTGTTTCATTAATGGTGTGTTCTCTTATGAACTTTAGCCTGATGTACGGTGGTTGTTTCCACATTTAACAGACATTGGACCTCGTGCAAGAACTACTTGTTGAAGTGGTTGTGACATTCACAAATTATTTTGTCGTTTTTGAATACAAACAAAATTCCTGACTGGTTTGGACCTGTTGTACGAGTCAGGTACAGATGCTCTGCATTTCTTCAGAAAATGAAAAACACTAATTTTAGTGTATAAAAAGTATGTAATCATTTTAATGCATTGGAGTCTATGGGTAAAATCTTTCCAGTGGCTTATCTCTGTGCTCTGAGCTGCTGAACTGAGCTGAATTTGTAATAGAAGTTTCTGTGTTTCCTTCTGTAGTCGATGCAGATGTCACAGTGGTGGGCTCCGGTCCAGGCGGCTACGTCGCTGCCATCAAAGCCGCACAGCTTGGCTTCAAGGTAAGCTGCCTTCAGGGCATATTGAATCTCGTCGACCAAATGTTAATTGACCAGAAAGGTCATTAGTCAGCGAGATTTCAGTGGTCGCTTAGTCACAGAAAAAGGGAAAAAAAAGGGAAATGTGAAACTCTTATCAGGAGCTGCACCTTGCCAAAATAAATCCAAACCTATATGACTGGACCATGTGGGAATTTAATTTGAAAGGACAGACACAGGAAGTGGCCATGCTCAACAGTCAGACAGGAGTCAGGTTACAAACCAATCACAGCCGACAGATTATCTTTCTCTTCTTCTGTAAATATTCAGTCTGATAAACACGGAAAAGTTGATCATGTTAGTGCAGGGCTGCCCAGAGCTTTACATCTGTCCCACAGACGATAGGCCTACACACTTATAAACAGCTCCTGGAAGAAGATCAGCTCTGCTCTCAGGATTTCAAGTAAATAGGCTATACGATGCTTTTTACGGTTGCTTAGCAACCTCAGACGCAACCTGCCGCCGCGCTCTTGAAAGCTGGCACAAAAAAGGCAAATGAACCTTCATTAATATAGGCCTATATTTTATCTCCAAGTGCACGTCACACACTGAGCGAGCCGCCTGTTAATGACGCTGTGGGCTAATGGGCATGTAGCTACTTCCATGTTTCAGATGATACGTCATGTTTGTAGTCGACCAATGAAGATGAGTTTACATATCACCTTGGGTTCGTCCTTCACCTTCTCAAAATGATCCCACACTTTGGATTTCCTGCCCGACATGTTATTAACTAGCCTGTGTAATAACCGCAGGTACCAGCCCTGGAAATTAACCTGACTCCTGTCTGACTGCTGAGCGTGGACACTTCCTGTGTCTGTCCTTTCAAATTAAAGTCACACATGGTCCAGTCACATAGGGTTGGATTTATTTTGACAAGGTTTCTAACAGAGTTTGACTTTTTTTTTTCTGCCACTAAGCGACCAATGAAATCTTGCCGACTAATGACCTTTCTGGTCGACTAACATTTGGTTCAACCATCAGGTGGCAGCCCTAGTATATGCTGTAAATTGTTAAATAAATGTTGCAGTGTGAGGAGGATAATCATTCTCAGGATTTTGTAAGAATTAAAAACAATTTCAGCAGAAGTTTGATCTTTTCAAAATTTCAATCAAGTTTCAATCTGTAGTCGACCTTTTTCTATTTAAAAACATGTATTTTTCATCTCTATAATAAGGATAGACCGATACATCGGCCGGCCGATATATCAGGCCGATATTTGAGTTTTTTTACTTGTATCGGCATCGGCTGATAGGCGCGTGAGTTCGCGGATTTATTTTTCCCTGGCACTTTTTTTCATTTGAAAGTATGTGGTTAAGTTAAACAAAGCTGTTGAATCCTACTGTGTACAGTAATTGTTGTTTTATTTATGCTTCAGCTTAAATATTTGTTTATTTTATAAAGACATTACTGGAAGATTTAAGAGCACTGAACTGAACTTTTTTATTTGAATGTATAATAATAATAATATTCTACCTGTTCTACCTCAACTTTCCATCTTGTTTTAGTATTTTTTACTGTTCAATAAATGTTTCTTATTTTAAACTTGAGACCTGTAATATTTGTTATCATTGTGTCATTTTTTTTTAATGTAAATTGAGGGAGCAAAAGCAGTATCGGCCCCAAATATCGGCTCAAGAAAATCGGCAGTCCATAATCGGTCATCGGCTAAGGGTGATGGAAAAAAATC